CCTTTTCAACTACGCAAGAATAGTTTCTTATCAGGCTCGTTTGGATTTGAAACGTTCTTTGGTTCTTTTTTGGAAGGATGTACTACATTTCAAAGGAACACCTCACGCTTGTAAAGCCTTGGCTTTCACTGTTGGTGAGTGTTCTGATAGTTCACTGTGAAATTGTCATTAATGCGGGAAGGTTTGGAATCTTGTAGCTGCCGTGAGGATGATAGGGTGCAATCACCTCAACACCTTCTATTAGACTATCCAAATTTCGCGAGGCTAAACAAAAATTCAATCGTTATCTTAATTTTGGCAATATTCTATTTCAGATACCAATTTTCAACGGAAATATCGTAGTTTTTATATTTTTCGAAAGCACCGGCATTGAGTGCTGGGCGTGGTTACCGCCCGATTTCGCCTATTTCCAATGCCAATCTACTTTGTATTAAGGGCAATTTTAGTATCCAATTTCGTTAATAGTTAAATATACCCTTGTGAAGATGTAGCTTCTGGTATAAAAAGATTTTCTTTTTGACAATTTGCAAATAAAATGAAAATAATATTTGCTGATTCAAATCCCAGTCAACTCTGATGAGGAGATCTTCCAACTTCTATTGTTGTTTCCCACAAAAAATTTTCAGTAAAAACGGCCTCGAGCTCAATCAAATTGTTGAATATGATAAAAACAATCTGCCTTACCCGAAAATAGTATCTACATACATGAAAACCAAAGTGAAAAGTGAACGGGTTCGGGAAAAATGAAACTCATGATAAGGCCATGTAAGAAATCTGAATGACAATTGGTTCATTTTTCATCTAACATGCCCTTTTCTTTTTGTAGTATTCATAGCAAAAACTCTTAAATTTAAAAAGTCAGAGCTTCTCTCTATAAATCAGTAGTTTATGCATAAATACATTCATACAGATATTTTACATATACTTAGTATAGATTCATAATTATACATACACATGTAACATACATACCTCTCTATCACTGTGTACAGTCACTTCTGCATTTCGTATCGGCTCACCGTCCAACAACCATGTTATCTTCGCCGCTGGATATGAACCCCACGAATCGCAGCGCAAAGGCACAGGCTGACCGGCTGTCAGCAGATCATTAGCTGTGAGGATTTTCACGCGCACCGGTTTCACTGTAGCAAAGATAAAGTGAATTTGGTTAGAGGAATTATATGTATGATATATGTATGCGCAAATAAAAAAAATACATATGTATTAAAAAAGAATCTTCAAAGAGTTTGCTTACAATGCACTTGCACTGTCACATCCTTCACCACTGGCGCTATAAGCTTCGTGCCTTGCGCTCGACACTCAATTTTCGCACCAAAATAATCACGCGTTGTTGTGCCGATCAACAATTGATTCACCATCATGGTCGTACCCTCTTCCACCGATGTATGGCTGGTGCCTATCAGCTCCATGTCATCATGCCACCAGGTGACTTTTGGTGGCGGACGTCCTAGTTGATGGTAAATGAAAATAATTTATCACTAACTCAAATAGAATTATTTGAATGAGTTTTATTAGTAGAATGGAAATTATATGCATACATATGTGTGTGTATATAAATATTTAGTATATGAAATATGTGATATTTGTACTGACTTAGAGGTAATCAAGAAAGTCTCATTCAAGGAAGAAGTTGAGACCGCTGCTGCAGTATTTTGACAGATATGATATCATATAACAAGCGCTGAAATTTAATTTTATGCTGTACACTTCACGCGAATGCTGATGTGCTAACGAACACATGCACATGTGGTTACCAGGAACAACTTTGTTCAAATTTACTCTTTCAAAAACAACCTCAACAAAAACTAATCATTTCAAAGAAATAGAGCAAGCGTAGCTGAGATAAGCCATCAGATATGTATAAAGAGGAAATACCAGCACAGAATACTTGTGATATATTCATACGTACGCAACCATGTATGTAGGTATGAGTATGAAGAATGCCAAATGAGAAAACGACACCACGGCGTATACGCAACAATATTGCTGTTCACTTATTTCTTTCTACATATCTGTATCTTTTAACGAATATCTTCTTGGTGTGTGCTAGTGCAGGGAATTGGTTTTTTGCGCACACACTCATACATATGTACATGCTGAAATTTCACTTAAAAAATAGATGAAAACAAGCGCGTGTGAAATAAACAAACAGCTGATGTCTCGAAAATATTCATCTGCTTCTAAATATGTATGGCGCTACGAAAAAACGTGTTTAAGGCTAACCGAAAACGACAAGTATTTTCACACAAAGTGTTTACATACATAACTACTAACGAATATGGTATGTACGTATGTATGTATGTATGTACGTATGATATAGAGCATTTTAACTTGCGCATTGGGGCAAAAACATGAATGCTCGATTGAAAAAATGTCAACATAAATTAGATGACAAGAATGGAGTGGTGCAGAAAAA